GCCGAGTCAAACCGTCGTTCTTCAGTTGCCGTATTGAACGTACCCTAGAAAGTATGCGGAAGACAGTTGCTGACCCAGCATGAACTGTGATACAGCTCTGTCTCCTACACCTTCCCGTTGCGCACAGTGCTACGAAGACTCAGCCCGAGGGCCAGACTCTACGCATCTACCTGCACTTATGTATAGGTTATATAGCTTCACATAGTGTAGCAGTAAACCAACATTCTCAGCGCCGGTGCTAGGGCTAGGCCCAGACACCAGCTTGAAAAGTCTAGCAGCGCTAGATACATCTCTGATCGCACCTGTTTCCTGTGGATGCCCGGCTAAGCCTCAGCCTTCCACAGATCAAGCAAGCGCTTGTTGTCAGCATAAAATTGCTTCAGTAGCATGAGTAGAGACTGAAGAGAGCTGTACTAGAAGTTCAACTCATCTTTTTTTCATTCTCACTCTTCTACATATATGGTATTGTACCACTCGGAATTTTTGAGGTAAAAAATATCCGGTCTACACAGCTCGAGTACGTGAGTTGAGAGGGTGCTTGTCCTAGTCCCGTACGTATTGTACTGGTATGTCTAATATTACGTGTCACTGCACCTAGCCGTAGTACTCAGCAGCGATTTTTTTTCTTTAAGACAAATAATATAAGCATCATTGGTAGTACAAAACTACAACTGAAGTATGTTTGCCCAAGTTCTATGATTGATATACCATTGTTATAGTATAGAGTGAGTGCTCATGAAGTATGACCAAGCTTGGATGGGACTAGGTAGTAATAAAGCAAGATATTTCACTGCTAAGTGGTAACAGATGCAAACTCCACTACAAATTCATCACGATCTCCGGCGATGAAGGCATAGAATATAGTCAATCCACTTATAACCAATGGCGTAGACTTCACTCTCTATAGCTATAAATAAATAATCAAGCTTAAAAAGTTGCCTACCTTGCTTACTTTTAGATATAGATACCAGAAATAGAGCACGCAGTAGAATTGACACTGTTGAGGTAATCATGATCTTTGGTGATGAAGACATACAATATAGTCAATCCACTTATTACAACGGGCTTAGACTCCACTCTCTATAGCTATACTTGGATGAACAGGCTTAAGAAGTAGTCTACCTTGCTTACTTATAGCTATACATCATGAAAATAGAGTAAACAGTTAAATTACTGTTTCGAGGTAATTACGATCTATAGGAATAAAGACATGCAAGCTGGCCTATTCTCTCGCTATCAAAGGCGTAGATCTCATCTCCTATGACTAGAGTTGGATAAACAAGCTCAAGAAGTAGTCTAGCTCGCTTAGTTATAAAAATATACCTCCTTAACGTGATTCAGAAAGTATCAAAAATTCTCTAAGTTTCGCTTGAAACGATGAAATATACTGTAAATCAACTTCTAGAAGGTCAATTAGTGTTCTACTTAGCTTGAACAGTAAGTATTCATCATAAGGATCACGAAAATCAACCTCCTGATGAGTTGATGAAAAAAGTCATATCACGAGAAACCAAGGTGTATACTGAAGTTACAGAGGTTTCACTGCAAGTACTCTACCTTCGCCGTCAGCATAATATTAATGAGAAAGTCAGTGAAGCATAACAAGTAGTTCTACTGGACAAATAATCCATCTATAACCATAAAGGAAGGATACTGGGGCAAGAATAATGCTTTGTAATGCTTACAGGAGTCATTTAACCTTATATAAGTGAAATATAAGCTCATATTACATACAGTGTATTTTTTTGCATAAGACCTTCACACACAAAAGTCAACAATGCAAGTACAACAAACAACAAACTATGATTAATTTACCATCTCCTATGACTAGAGTTGGATAAACAAGCTCAAGAAGTAGTCTAGCTTGCTTAGTTATAAAAATATACCTCCTTAACGTGATTCAGAAAGTATCAAAAATTCTCTAAGTTTCGCTTGAAACGATGAAATATACTGTAAATCAACTTCTAGAAGGTCAATTAGTGTTCTACTTAGCTTGAACAGTAAGTATTCATCATAAGGATCACGAAAATCAACCTCCTGATGAGTTGATGAAAAAAGTCATATCACGAGAAACCATGGTGTATACTGAAGTTACAGAGGTTTCACTGCAAATACTCTACCTTCGCCGTCAGCATAATATTAATGAGAAAGTCAGTGAAGCATAACAAGTAGTTCTACTGGACAAATAATCCATCTATAACCATAAAGGAAGGATACTGGGGCGAGAATAACAAAGGAAACAACTTTATTCAATAAAAAAATAAGAAAAATTATGCATTGGAATGGCACTATGATATTTTGTGGCTAGGCTCTGATGCCTTGCGACTAGTGTAATTTGATGAAAATGAGCGTTTGAAGTATCTCCACTTCAGGATATCATCTTCATGGTATGGACTCGGGATGCAGAGCAAAAGGAATAAAAGTTAGAACCGAAATTTACGTAATTTCATCAAAGGTACGGTCGAGGAGGTAGATTTTGGACTCAGATTTTGCCCTCAAA